CCCCTGTCCTCCTACGGACAGGTACCCATTTACCTAATTGCCCCGAGGGGCTTTCGGACTGCTGGGTTGGCAGGAGCTGGGGCAAGGGTCGGGAGCTCACCCCGACCACGGTGGTATTCGAACCGCTGTTACAGCTGTTCGAAATGACTATTTCTACAGGCATTTAACTGCCTGTGCCACCGCCCCATCTTATTGGTTGTAAGCCTCCTTTGAAGGTTGAATAGCAGAAAGACGAGATAGGACTTAAATAAGTGAGCCATGATTACGATCGGTTGGATCTGGCCTACTTTTTCACTCCACCAAATTTCCCTCTTCACTATGGCCCCCATTGAGGGTTGTCAAATGCCTGCTGAGGGCAGGGGATTTCCCACCCCCCAGCGGCCGTTGCCTGTTGGTACTCCAAAGGCTGCAGGAGAAGAAAATTAAATTGCCATCTGTGATGGTGTGACATCACTTCCTGGAATAGCCCAAAAGTGATGTCAGTAGTCTCTAGGAATAGCCAGAAACTTTGTAATAAAACTGGAAAAACCTGGAAGTGACATCACACCATCCCCGTAGCTAGATGATTGGGGGGGCACTGGGGGGGATGATGTCACTTCTGATGTCACAAAAATAATAATATAAAATAAAAATAGCTTTGTAATAAAACTGGAAAAACCTGGAAGTGACATCACACCACCCCCGTAGCTAGATGATTGGGGGGGGCACTGGGGGGATGATATCACAAAAATAATAATATAAAATAAAAATAGAATGCTCTCCTAGCCCCCCCCCCGCTACCTGAGGGGGGTAGGGGAAGAGAGGTGCCACTGGAAGGAGAGAGGCTCCCCTCGTTCTTCTAGCTCTTTGCTGAACTGCGCGCTCTCCATGTGGTGCAGCTGCTCCCCTCGGGGAGGAGAACAGGAGAAAAGTGCACGAAAGAACATCAGACCAAAATGCGTATCTATGTTGATTCATCTGATGACTGGCAGCCCTAATGGAACCAGGTGGGCGGGCACGTTTTAAAAACCCTGGCTGGGTTGGAGCAGCAAGTTTCACCTGTTGCTTTGCGGAAGATGCCTGAGCCATGCTGGGGGTACCTGCCTCCCTCTCTCTGCTGTGCCAAGCCAGCAGAGCCAATCCCAAAGTTGCTGAGTAGAAATGCCGTGCACTCTGTCGAGGGTGGCGGTGGACTACAATTCCTGTGGAGCTGGCAGGGTGCACGGGCACAGTGGTGAGCAGTGGCTTTGGAAAGGGGGGTGATGTCAGCCGATCCATGGCTCACAGGCAGCCAATCAGCAGCGGCTGGGGTGGTGGTGCTTGTAAGCTCCCCATTCAACTATGGCTGCAGCAGCTGCACCACCTCACCTGCCTCTGTGCTTGCCATGGTATCTATGTTGATTCGAAAGAAATGTACATGGTGTGGCAGAAAAATGCCTGGTGGGGCAGGCTCTAAGATTTGGCAGGGGCGTTGAAAATTTGGGAGGGGGCATCACCCCGTACACTGGGAGGGGGCATCACCTCGTACACCCTGCACTAACTATGGCCCCGCACCACACCATTGCTGGCAGCCCCCCCCTCCTTCCCTCCCTTGGATTTTCTGCTGGTTTCTAAGCACAATCACGCAGCACTACCTTCACCCCATATGAGCTTTGTCCAGGCAAATCCCATGATCCCCAGCATAGCTTTTTTGTTGGTTCAAGTAGACCCAATTTTCCTTTTTTCCAATGGGAAAACTGGTTGGATCTAACCTATAGAGCACCCAAGCCTAAAAATGAGGATCTATCTGAAGATTGCCGTTTTTGGAACTGCATTACTCACAAACGGCAAATGAATGCATCTAATTATGAGAACAATAATAAGTGTTTATATGGCAGGTTTTAAGATATTTAGCTATGAATAGAGTGACATAAGAATGGAAATAAATAAATGTATTGAAGTATCTTTTCAATTTTTTTTCTGGACTATAGGCTCTTATGCAGTTTTATGGTGTGTGGTATCTTCTGCCCCCTGAAGGACATAAAAAGCAATGCATTCAAAAAGTGAAAATGTAAATGTGATATTTTGCAACAGAAAACAATACAAGACATAGTAGCATCAAGAAATGTTTTGTTGTGATTATACTAGGGTTGCCAGGCTGTGCCTGAGGATCAGTGGGAATTTGGGAATGGAGCGGAGGGAACATGGGGATGTCGTTGGTGATGGTGTGATGTCTCTTCCAGGAGAAACCCAGAAATGACATCAGTCCTGTACAGGAATCCCCAGAAACTTTACAGTTAAACAATATGATTTTACCATAGATTTTCCAGTGATTCCTAGACAAGACTGACATCACTTCCATGGTTTTCTCAGAAGTGACATCACACCAGCCCTGAGATCTGAAAACACAGTCTCAGTGGGCATTCCTTCAGGTTCTACAGGAATCTCTTGTCTGTCCCTGGCTCCATTTTACAGATATTTTGATCTACACCCTATCACCTGGTTCAGAATAAGATATATGACAAGAAAGGGGACCTGCGAAACTCGTGGGGGGGCGGGGGAGCTCCACGCAGAGCAGGCGGGGAGGAAGCAGCAGCAGGTAAGCTTCCCCCCCCATCCCGCCGGAGGGAACGCTCTGCAGACTGCCTCGCCGCCACCGCTTCAGAGCCGGGGGGGGGGAGAGACCAGCGAGGCCCGAGCGGCTTGCAGCCACCGGGTCTCGCCGGTCTCTCCCCCCCGGCTCCGAGGCAGTTCTTTAACTTTTGGGGGGATTTAAATATCCCCCCCGATATTTTTTCCAACTTTTCAGATTTTTCTGCACACCTTGGGACTGCCCCAAGTGTGCAGGGAAATCTCCCTGCCCCCCAGGTGCCCCCGATGTGCGGATTTAGATATCCGCATGCAGAGGGTGTCTTTCACTATTAGTATATAGATGATACAGTTGGGCCCAAAGTTTACTATCCACAGACAAGATGGGGTAGAAAGAAAGATCAGTTGTACAGATGACAATTGTATAGTGGGTTGAATGGAGGCCAGTTGATTAAATTAAGGCTAAGTTGGAAAACTGAATCTTGATAACAGACTTACAATAAGAGAAAATATCTATTATATTTTCAGTTCGTTAACAATTATTCTGTGTTGGGATAATTATTTATTATTTTTAGTCACTTTTTAGCATACAAAGCAATTCATCCCATTTTCTCACAAAAAATGCCATATCTAACATATGCCAAAATACATATAAATTAGCTCTGCTTGTTCACTAACTCCTTTTTT